TCCAGGTCAGGTGGCTGCAGCATGGCACACACTGCTGATGCTGCAGGTCAGAGATGGAGATGAAACTGGAAAAAAAAAAGAGAAGCAAGACTATAGAAGGATGTAGGAAAAAGTCAAGTCTACAAACTTTAGAGATTACAGTGATCATTCCAGTGCACAAAGCCTGGCTAAGTCAAAAAAGCCTTAGCTATTGGTATGGTCTGATGATACCACATGGCAAGAACCAACTCATTCACTGGCATTTATCAATGATCTCTCTCAGCTCAGTCAACATGTGTGTGCTGCTTGAGCATCCTCTCTGAAAACAGACATCCTCTGCTACTATGGTTACCTGAGCAGGCATGCAGAAGGCTTGGGGAAAAAATAATTGAAGGGTAAGAAAACAGAACATATTTCCTAGTACATGTGTGTGGGGGGGGAAGTGGGAAGGAGAACAGTTATTAATTCAGGCATTTTTAGCTTGAATGGGAGACTGTGAGAAAACCCCAACAACTGTTTGAACAGTTTACATACCAGTTACGAACACAGGTAAATACAGACTAATTCCATCATTGTGGGCTCAAGTTGATGAACTGTGGTAAAAGCAGGGTTGAAAACTTCTAGATGAAGATTACGACAGTTTTGTGACAAATTCTCTCCTGTGAATAGCTTACACAGTACAAAACTGAGAGACAATAAGCCAGTAATCTTAGACTGGGACTTCACTTATAACATCAGAGCCAAGCTAGCCCTGAAACTTCCCACCTACGCTCCTGGCTTTGGAGAGTGAGGCGAGGAGATGTAACATCAAATTGGCATGAGGCCATCCATAGTTTAGCATCTATCAAGCTTAGACTGGCCACAGTACCAAGTATGGGAGAGCAAGGCAGCATTCTCAGTACATGCTAAGCCTTTCCAGTGTATGATCCTGGTAGCATTCATCGTCATTGTTTACTTCCTGGCTCTGCATTCTAGAGAATTAACAGAAGTACCCTCTCCATGATAGCATAAATACATTAGCAGAAGTCGCCTCTCCACAACAACATAAATACTGAAAGACTGAATACAAACTGGCCTCCAGCTAGTGATTTTGATACTTGTTTCCAGTGAGGTTTGCTGACAATTTTAGGTTGTGAAACTGGAACTCTGTTTCAACACCCACTTGCTCAGTAGCAGGACATAATCAAATTGAGAGAATATGAATTTGATGAGTTTCAGTTGATTAGTTAGGTATCAAAGGTTCAAAGACAGAAACCAGTCCAGATGAGCAATGGGTCTGGACCAGCAATATATCATAGAATCAAATAGGTTGGACGCTTTAAGATCATCAAGTCCAACCATTCCCCAGTACTGCCAAGGCCACCACTAAGCCATATCACTGAGGGCCTGTCTAGACAGATTTTGAACACTTGTTCAAGATTAGCTGAAAATAACATAAGCAAATTGCTTTGTACTCAGAGTCAGAACAGCACCAGTAATAATACTGGTCTATCTACGATCTACAAGGAGAACGCAGCACTGGTTGTGTTGACATCACATGTGCTGTCTGCTTTTTGAGAGAAACCAAAACTACAGGAGTGCACTGGATCCTGGTTATCACATCCAGAAACCTAAATCGGCTCTTCTGGTAATCCAGAGCTTGACAGTTAACTGTGGATGGAGAACGCTGCTCACAAACAGACCACTGGCCTCATGCAAGAGAAGTATCAGCTCTTCTTGATGAATTCTCCTGTACATAAACCAAACTCTGTTTTAAACACTGTGAAATACAGTCTATAGAAAAAATATGGCTTTGATGAAATCAGTTTAGCTGGTCTGAAAGATGCATCATCTACATTTATAAACTATTAGTACAAAATTAAAGGTCATAAGACCCTAATCAATTCCAGTTGACCTTCCCCAAACCAGCTGTGCCAGGGGTTTTAAGAGACATCCTTCGACCATAAATTGGAGCAAGAGAGAAATAGATCCAGAAGAGCCACATCTTCCAAATTGGATCTCTCAGCAAACTGTGTGTTTTTCATGACGGTAAACACCTAAAAGCCTTTTACCAGCTAAAATGTGGATCATGCTATCCTAGATTCCCCCCTTTGGGAGACCACACACTTGAATGTAGACCTCAGCTGGCCAGCAGCCCTGGAGACTATGGCCAGGCACAGCCTCCTCAGCAGACCAGCAGGATCAGCGAGGTGCCCCACTTCGGTCACACACTCTCCCTACCGCAGATACGGTGCGTAATCAATACCGCAACAGCGACCGGGGGCGCACCGAAGCCAAGAACGCGCACGTGGTTATCTGCCTTTGAAAACAACCCTCCCACACCCAGCATCCGGGGCAGACACCGCATATGAGCGAGCGGCCCTGGTCCAGCGGCAGCCGCCGTGCCGAGCTCCCAGCTCCCGGGAGGACCCCACCAGCCCCGTTCCACCGGCCGCCCACGGGCCCTTCACGTGTGTGCTTGTGTAACTTCCTCCTCCGGACCATGCCGCGGGCGTGAAGGGCGGTCCGACCATGCCCATTCGCCCCTCTCCACCCTTCCTCTTCTCTCCTCCCCTCTCCACCCTGCTGTCACCTGTAGCCGAGCGGCAGGTCCCCGCCAACTGCGCTGCGCAGGCACCGCAGCACCGCGTCCAGCAGCGGCGGCCCCTCCGGTGCGCCAGGCCCCTCTTGGGCCGGGAGCGCTCGGCGGCTGAAGTCCTGAGCCGCCTGCAGCCAGCGCTGCTCCTAGGGAGAAGCAGAGACACGGGCCTTCAGCACCATGGGGCGGGGAGGTGCGCGGAGCCGCGCTGGGTCACTCACTCACCGCCGCGCTGGGCTCCGCCATGACGGCACCCGGGCCGAACGTGCGAGTCACGGCACTACCATGGCTACGCGGCGGCGGGAAACGCGCAGGGCGCGTCTCCGCCCCCTCCCTCCGCTCAGGCCAATGGCCGCCGCCGGAGGCGGTCGTAGCTCCTGAGGTAAAGTGTTGCGATGGCGGCGGCGGGAGCGTTTCGGCTCACTGAGAAACGGTTCTTACCCCTCGCACTGCCGAGAAACGGAACCCGTGAGGGCTCCGCAGGCTGGAACACGGGGAGACAGCGGGGAGGGGGGGGGGGGGGCGGCGTGGCCTGACCAGTTCTGGGGAGAGATGGGAAGTGCGCTGAGGCGTTTGATATTAGTGTAAATGTCAAGCCTGCAGCGGGCTGTGAGATCGCTTTCCCGTGCGGAGTGCAGGAAGAGGGGTTCCTCCGACACTTTTGTTGTTCTGGAGAAATGCTTTTTCTTGTTGTGGAAGGCTGAAGCTCCACTGAAGAGTGTGCCTGCGCCACTCATATGACAGTATGGGATAAATCTGAAACAGCCCATTAAAAATGTGATTTCCTTCTCCACGAAATATACTTACTGGTGGTTGAGGATTTTTCCCTTAGGCGATAATTTTCCTAGAATCCCAGACTGGTTTGGGTTGAAAGAACCTTAAAGCTCACCCAGTTCCAACTCCCTGCCACAGGGTCCTGTGTCCACCCTGGCCTTGAACACTGCCAGGGATGGGGCAGCCACAGCTTCTCTGGGCACCCTGTGCCAGCACCTCAGCACCCTCACAGGGAAGAGCTTCTGCCTAAGAGCTCATCTCAATCTCTCCTCTGGCAGGTTAAAGTCATTCCCCTTGTTCTGTCCCTACAGGCTTTTGTCCAAAGCCCCTCTCCAGGTTTCTTGTAGCCCCTTTAGGCGCTGGGAGCTGCTCGAAGGTTTCCCTGGAGCCTTCTCAGGCTGTCCCCATAGGAGGGGGGCTCAAACCCCCTTCCATTTTTTTTTTGTATTTTCCCAATGTAAGGCAAGGAAAAGAACTAGACAAAACTCAGTAAATTGTTTCTATTTCTATCCCCGGAGATGGCTGCAGACTTATAACGTATTGTTCTATTTTCTTCCCACTTGCAACTGCAAAATCAGAGCTGCTCAAGCCTGAAGTGTGGAGGAGAGCTATGTAGCTGTGTGGCCTTTGTCCTTTTCTCCTCTGCATGTCCCATTGCTGGCTTCCACGCTGAGATAAGCAACTGCATAGTAGACATAGCCCATGGAGCTGTTTGGCTTTCTTCACAGCAGTTCAGGCAGTGAACGGAGTGAATTGTATGCAGATTTTGGGCTTACATACATGAAATGGGTATATTCTTTCCAAACAGTGCTTAGCACCTCAATTTAATGGCTTTGTATAACAGAGATAGGGCAGGAAATGGGGGAGCATTCCCTGTCACAACCCGATCACTGGGAAGTAGGTGCTGTGGCTGTTTCCATTCGGGATCCCTCCCATTCATGATACCTGCCTCTTGTGGTAACAACCAACCAATTCCTATCACCCTTAGCAGACAAGCAGTCAGGATGAGGTAACTAACCTGGCAGCTGGTTATGTCAACTGGGAATAGTTCTGAAACAACATGGTGGGATCTTAATGTGCAACATATAAAAGGGAGTGCTTTATCTGTTTGCCACCTAATCCTTACTGTGTTTTTAAACACTATAATTAAAAGCATGTATTAAATGAAGCAGAGCTCGCATAGAATGCTACATTAACTTTATATTTGCATTGTCAATGCAGCTGGATAATCGCAGCATACAAGCAAATGTGTGTTTTAAATTAAAAAGTATAGGCATATATACTCTAAATATGCTACTTTGGGCTGATAAATACCATTCTTGAGAATTATTTAGGTGCTGACAAGGCAGTTGAGGTGCAGTGTGTTACCATCTCACCACTACATGGTTAAGTTTCACATGAACTCAACATTAACAGTAGGAGGTAAAGGTGAATTACTGTAGGAAATTTTAAGATAGACTCATAGAAGGGTTTGGGTTGGAAAACGCTCATCCTGCCATGGGCAGGGACACCCTCTACTGAGGTGACTCCTTTTCCAGGTGTTTTCCAGCAGGTTTAGCCACGGGACACACCATCGGTCGTTTCTTTTTAGCTTGTTCATCTCAGGGTTAAAGGAACGCCGCCGACAGCGGTCGGTTTGCGCCGGTGGGTAGGCGGGGCTGGGCCGCCTCCCGCTTTCCTCCTGGCGCCCCTAGAAAGTTGGAGGAGCGCAGCTCCGCTCCGTGCTGCTCCGGCCGGGGCCGGGCAGAGCTGGGACGGCTTCCTCCGGGCTCCGCGGGATCCTGCCATGGGGACGTAGTGGGCCGCGGAGCCATGCGCGGCCCTGCGCTGCCCTGCAGCTCGCTGCGGACGGTAAGTCACGGCGGGACGGGTCCGGACCCTGAGATTCCTCAGTCAGTGGCGGCGGCTCCGCTCCCGCAGCGGACGGCCTGTGGGCTTTTCCGCCGGAGCTGCGAGGCTACAGCGCGCTGCCCGCCGCGGAACAATGGGGCCCGAGCTCCCTTCGATCCTCGTGGTCCCCGTCGTTCTGGGGTCCGCGTTCCCCTCCCACTGTCCGGGACTTTCGTTTCCCTCACGGCAGCCCCGAGTCTCGGCGGGGAGCGAAGGAAGGGCGGTGGCAGCTCCCAAGGAGCCGTTATCACCTGAGGTGGGAGGTCGTGAAGGGAGGGGGCGGCTTGGTGCCCTGCTGTTGAGGCCGGGCCCGGCCCGCGATGCCGGCTCCCGCCCGCCCACTGCTTGGCCCCTGGATTCGCCGGGGCCGTTTCCGGGCTTTATCCCTGAGTCAGGAGAAAAGGCGGCTGGATTTCCAGGAATGGAGGAGGATTTCCTGGAGCGAGGCGCTGGGTTGACCCTGCCTCTCGGACTGGGCTGGGCTCCGTTCCCGGTGAGCGGGGGTCGGGGCCGGATGCAGGCGGCAGGAGGACGAGCCGCCTCTAACTCATCGGGCGCGGCTGTACCGCCGCGGACGGGACGGAACGGAACGGAACGGAACGGGAGCGTCGGTGCCGCTTGAAGCGAGGGAAGTTGTGTTGCTGCTCTGCGGGCTTTTAAACAGAGATTAGCGGGCGGTGCATACGACCCAAACCGTGGGGTTTGTTTATCCTCACCGGTGAATTGTCATTTTCCTGTGTGTCGAGCATCTTCTTTTAGATTTGACACCGGGAACAGTGAGTTGTGCTGAAGAGCTTAGCCCCCTTTTGCATTAAATTTTAAGGAGAACAGAAAGCAAGTGACATGAGGTATGAAATAAGTTAACTTTTTAATCCACTTGGGGGTTGACAAAGTTATGAAAACATCCCACATGCCTGTATGTCTGCACATGATCACTGTCATTTGCTTTTGTTGTCAGCATCCCTGGTGGTATTTAGAAGGCATGTAGATGTGGTTCTGAGGGATGTGGTTTAGTGGTGGACTTAGCAGTGCGAGGTTAGCAGTTAGACTCCATGATCTGAAACGTCTTTTCCAGCCTCAGTGACTTTACAGTTCTTTGGTATCATAGGTGAAGATTTTTAAGCTGTCAGCTGTAACTCTGCAGGTGAAAAAGTTACTTGTAAAAGAAATTGTGAGTTTTATGAATAACCAGTGTTGGCAGATGTATGATAAAGCTATGACAGTAGAGGTGGCATCAGCGCCATGACATGGCTATAAATTCTGCTGTAGAAGTTACAAGATCAAACTCTTTATTCCCTAATAGCTGAGCATTCCTGTAACTTGCACTTGACTGCACTGGGTCAGTTGTAATGCTGGGTTAATTGTTAATTTGCTGTCAGAAAATTGTGACTCATGGCTCAAAAGTTTACTTCTTCCAGAAGCTGTATTTTTTTGCACCTGAAAGCTTTCGGAAACCAGGTAATAAATAGCATTGCATTTAGCACTGGCAGGACAACACAACTAAAGTGATGGAGTAGAAGTTTACACCTTGACTCTAATTGTGGATCATTTACCATCTTGGGACATAGGTAGGATACATAAACTGACTTGCATATAGATTTCAAAGCAGTTAGCAAACCTGGAAAAGTGGTTTAAGTGTTAAGTATAGTGGTGCATATATTTTGCTGTAATTCAGATAGTATATATGACAGTACTCATATTATTGGTGATAAAATGCACGCAAAAAAGAATTTACTGTATTCCCCAAATTCATTATTATTATCTTCAGTTCAATAATATGCTGGAGAAGAGTATCCATCCTTCAGTGGGATTTATGTTTCTTTTTGAGGACATTTTTCCTCTCTTATTTACATGTCATTTCAAGTTCTCAATAGCACCATCCTCACTCATTACAGATAATGTTTATCTTTTCCATGAAATAATACTATTTTTTTAAGTGCTAACAATTCTCCCTCTGTTGCGTGCCCTTCCATCCTCCATGTATTTTCCATATCGTCCTGCGTTTTGCCCTCATGGCCTTTCCTACTCCCTTGATGCCCCCCATTTTAGTTTTTGATTCCTTTACATTTCCACTGATTCTTCAAAATTTCCTGTTGGCTGTTTCCATGCATTTTCTCTTTTTGTGTGTCTTTAACCTTGTTTCCCGGTCCTTTGTGTTTTCCCTGTGGACTTCCAGCATTCACAGTGAATAAAAGGGCACCTGTCTCTGCTCAGGCCCTTTTGCTCACTGTGAGAGTTGGAAGTGCACAGGGAAGGAAGTGCACAGTGCTTCAAGCATTGATGCCTTTTGAAGATAAAGGGAGGAAATGCAATTTTGAAGTTAGAAGCTATGTTATATAAAAGTTGAAAACCAAGCCACCAAGAGCGTTGTAAGAAAGAACTGTTGGGCTTACCATCCTGTTTCCTCTAGTGGCCAACAGCATGTATCTACTAAGGGTTTTGGAGCAGGGGGAGTATAAAACAGTGAAAAATAAAACCACTTTCCCAGCTTCCAGTGGTCTGTGACTGTAGGAATTCCCAAGTTGAAATGGGAATTTTGGAGCCCCGAGTGTGTTTTTTTTCTTCTGCTAATGAATATGATGATGCTTTTGGTACACAGGCACATTTCTGGCACCCCCCAGCACTCTGACAGGGAGTCCCACACATCAGTTGTGTGTTGGATAAAAAAGTTCCTCCTTGTATGTGTTTCAGACCTTTCTCCTGCTTGTTTAATGGGATACCTCTTAGTTCTTGCATTGGGAGAGATAGAGAACAGCCATCCCAGTTCACATTCTTCATGGCATCCATGACTTTAGGGTCCACTATAGTATCCTCTACCAGTATTTTTAATAATTGCCTTTATGGCAGCTAGTCTGTGCCAGTGATCATCCTTGTTACCTTTCTTTGTATAATATATGGGTTAATATATATTCTCAGGATTGGGGAGCAGAAACACAGTCAGGATTCAGTCCTTATGGATTAACATATTGGCATAACAACACTGTCTGTTTTGCCCTCAAATATTTTCCTAATAATTCATTTGATTACATTTCTGACTGTTTTCTGGGGCAGCTGTGTTGTGTTCTCGTCCATAATTGTGTCCTCATCCCTGGATAACTGACTGCTTCCTTTGAACTCTTGGTAACACAGATCTTTCTATTGCGGTCTTGGGAACCTGAGAGTGGAAAGCACATCTCAAAGCAATGTTGCTACGTTTCTCTATTAAACCAGGAGTATTTTGGTTCCAATGAGTAGGACTCCACATGACAATGACTTTTCTACTTTTTATCTCTGCTAATATGAAACACAAATTTCTAGCTTTGTATGCTGTATATGTATATGCACACACATTTTGTGATGTGAAGTCCATGATCTTTATGAGTAAAGCTCGTTGTTGTTGTTGTTTTACAGTGAAGATTTCTAAGGCCTTTCTTCATGGCATGAAAGCTCTTCCCAGTCTCCTGATTTTAGACAGGGCCCCTGTCTGATCTTCATAAAATGGAGGACTCTTCATAATAATAGCTCTTACACCCTTCTTTTAACCTTTCCAGATTTTAGTGAGCAATGAGAAATAATTCCTGTAAATGTTGCTTTAATATACATTTCTCAATGTGTAAAGCAGAAGTTCTGGTTCCCTGTGCATCATTGTATAGCAAACAAAAAAAACAATGCAAATCTCAGAGCTTTTGGAAATGTCTGAAGCAGTCAGGGAGCGTAAAGGTAATCTTGCACCCTGATTTCTTTGGTACCTCACTATGAGCAGAATCTGCTTTCCTCTGAACTTCCAAGCTGGCTGATTTTTTTTTTTTTTTTTAATTTTTTTTTTTTTAATGACTCCTCAAAAAGGCTAAGATAGAACTGGTGCATAGATTACCTGTGCATTGGTGTTTACCATGCTGAATCCTTTTAAGCAAAGGGAAATTTCTATTAATATATGTTTGAGAAATTCTAATGACTGACTTGGAACGTCTTCCCTTTGCAGGAAGTTCTTCAGTTTAAAAATGGAAGTTGTAAACTGAATGTCTTTACTGAGAGAAGAGGTTGAATAAGCTGTTGTGGTGGGGAAACACTTTATTAAATGAGTATGTTACATACTAAAAAAGGAGTAAGCCTCCATCTCTGGATTTTAACAGCAGATCTGGATTTATAAAATCATTTTATTCTGAAATTTTCCACTTTATGCTTTTGTATTAAGGTTTTTTAAACTCTGGAAATTATTAATTTGGATTATTTTAAACATTAGCTTAGTGATGAGCAATACTATGTGAATTGTTTGAAATACTCGTACTTGAGCAGCTGCTCCAGCAAGTATTGCCTTCCTGTGAGTTCACGTGAACAGGCACTGGGGTTTCCAGGTGCTGTGGTGGGGGCAGGAGTAACTTCTCACCTGTTCAATCCCTCCCTTCCTAGTCAGTTTGCTTTCTGTGACTCACCTTGCTCCACTCTGGACACCTCTGAGCATCCACCAACTTTCCAGGAGAAGGGAGTCTTGCTCCCAACGTGACCCTCTCCATCTTCTCTTTCCTGTCATACTGTCATACCTGTGTGTCACTGTACCTGCTTCCTGTGCCCTTTTACCTGAGGGTGAGGAGCCTTGTAGGTAGCAGCAAGGCTACAGCTCTTCATTGGGAGGGCAGAGCAAATGAAACATACATTCCATGCTGAGTGATTTGATATTTCCTAGCCTTGTGGGCATTGGCAGATAACCCTGATATGCTGCACTTCCCTGTCCTTGTCCCTCTGTTTCAGGTACTGTGCTGCCTTGGAGTGAGTCCAGAGGAGGCCACAAAGATGATCAGAGGGCAGGAGCATCTCTCCTATGGAGCCAGGCTGAGTTGGGGTTGTTAAGCCTGGAGAAGAGAAGGCTCAGGGGAGACCTTGTAGCAGTGTTCGAATACCAAAAAAAGGGCTAGAAAAAATGTGGAGAGGGACTTTTTACAAAGGCATGTAGTGATAGGACAAGGGGGAATAGCTTTAACCTGACAGAGGGGAGACTCAGATTATATATAACAAAGAAGCTCTTCCCTGTGAGGGTGCTGAGGCGCTGGCACAGGCTGCCCAGAGAACTTGTGGCTGCCCCATCCCTGGCAGTGTTCAAGGCCAGGTTGTATGGGGCTTGGAGCAACCTGGTCTAGTGGAAGGTGTCCCTACCCATGGCAGGGGTTTAGAACTGGATAAGCTTTAAGGTCCCTTCCAACTTAAACCAGTCTGGGATTTTACGATTCTTTTTCCTTGGCCTGAGAACAGTGCTCTCAAGTTCTCTTCTTATTTCCACCCTGCCCTCCCGATCTTCCTTGCATCTTGCTACATTCTTCACTTTTATCTTTCCTGTTCCTTCCTTTTTTTGCCTTACTCTGTAGAGATGTCACCTCACAGTTCTCTGGTCTGGTGAGGCAGAAGCAGCAAGCAAGGGTGTGAATTGTAGCGTTGGCAGTAATTCAAGGATATTTGAGGTTGAAGATGTTACAGGGGCTCCAAACTCCTGTCTCAGCTGTCAAAACCTTCCATAGAAGAGCTGCTGGGCTTGTGCAATGTTGTGGATTTTTTTCACTGTAGCTGTCCAACAGTAAGTGCTCTCATGAGACATGAGAAGGAGCTATGGTTTCCTCACATCTGAGGGCACACAGCTGTCACCCTGAGGGGCAGAATGATTTAGGGAAGCAGCATTCTGGTTTTGTTGTGTTTATTTCATCAGCAATTGCAGAAGTAAAACCTAGAGTTTCTGCTTACTCTTCTTTCTCCTGGGCGCTCCCAGCTCACTAAGAACGTGAGTCACTGGTGTGCATGATGTGGTTTGGTGGTTTGAGTTACCACTCAGCTGACGCATGCTGTCCACTCTTCTATGCAGCATTGGTTAGTGGCTACTCGTTCTTTCTCCTGGCAAGTGAAAATGGAGCATGTTGTAAATCTAACAATGGAAAACCATTTTCAGTTGTAGAAATCTCTGAACTTTGCCTTGGTGAGCTCTTACCTATAACTTGAGGCTTCAGTGCTTTGTAAGTGGAGCTGTATCTAGCTGGTGACCGGTCACCAGTGATGTTCCTCGGGGTTCAGTTTTAGGGCCAGTTCTGTTCAATATATTTATCAATGATCTGGATGCAGATGATGAATGCTCCATAAGCAAGGTTGCTGATGATACCAAATTGGCAGGTCCTATTGACTCTCTTGAGAGACAGAAGACCTTGCAGAGGGATCTAGCTAGGCTGGAGCACTGGGCAATGATTAATGGGATGCAGTTTAACAAGTGGAAATGCCGGATGCGCAGCTGGGACAGTTGCACTGGGCACAAGTACAGACAGAGAGGGGTGGCTGGAAGCAGCCCTGCAGGAAGGGCCTGGGAGTTCTGGTTGGGAGCAGCTCAGTAGGAGCCAGTGGGGTGCCCAGGCAGCCCACAGGGCAAACCCTATCCTGGTGCATCAAACGCAGCACAGGCAGAGGTCAAGAGAGGTGCTTGTCCCGCTGTTTTCAGTGTTGGTGCGGCCTCACCTTGAGTGCTGGGTGTGGTTCTGCACCCCACCGTGTAAGAAGGACGTGAAGGTCCTTCAATGGATCCAGAGGGTTGCACCAAAGCTGGTGACAGGGCTGGAAGGCAAGGCCTGTGAGGAGGGCTGAGTGCTTTGGGCTTGTCTGGTTTGCAGAGAGCATGCTTTAATTTTTGGTCAGCTCAGAATAGGTCAGGTGTTTGGATTAGGTGATCATTGGAGGGTCCTTCCAACTGAAATAGTCTAGTCTATTAGTCTATTCAAAGTTAATGTATTTCCTGAATATCATGAAGTGTGCCCCTGTGTAAATCTGCAGCTGCTGGACGGCTTGGGGAGCTGCTGAAGATGGTGGTGGTGGGGGGTTTCTTCAGTGTGAATACATTTTTCTGGAAGGCCAAGTCATTAGTTTGTGAGTCACTTGTGGTCTGTGGCTCTCCGATTGTCATCAGTAATAATGTGTTAACTCTGGGTTGATTACACTTATACACATGCTTTCACTTAATCTGAAAAATTTAAAACACCTTTCCTGGTTTCTTTTGTGATTTAAGGTGTATTTGACCAATTTTCTGTGGTTTTGGCTTGGTCTTTGGTGCTTTTCTGTTATTTCTATTGCTGACTTGTCTGACTTATGGGCCTGCTGTATATATTGCTATGTTGGGGATTAATCATTGGCTAGAGAATCAGGATTCTTGCTGTCAGACCATCTGTATGAATGATCTTTTACCCGTTTTCTTGCAGTCAAATCAATCTGTAGGACTGTCAGTTGCTGAAATGAGTTTTATTTCTTGCTGGGTTGTTGTTGGAGTGCTTACATGTATCCTGTGGTCAGATAATTAAGTCTGGAACAATGGTATTTAAACATGTGGTTTTCTTTTTCCTGTTCACCATTTTAGCATCTGTCTATTGAATATGTCTTTGTATGACAGAGCCCTCTGAAAAATGGGGTTTTTGCTTTGTCAGAGTTGCAAACTCCTCTCTTGCTTGAGGTTTTGAGCTGCTTTCATGTATGTGCCTTTCTCCCCAAGGCTTTAATTTTGAGAGAGCAACAGGACAGCGTGGAGCTGTCATAGTTGTCTCATCTTGCATATCCTTTCTTAAGCTCACAACCACAAAATTGGTATCGGCACTGTGGTTTGCCCTTATTGCTTTACTTTGCTTTTGCTGTAACTCTCCTACCTGAAAATGCAAAAAGGAGCCAGACTCTAAAGCTACTCCTGTACAGGCATCTTACCTTGTCCACAAGAGCAAGCTGGGAAAACATTACAATGTAGGGAAGCTGGTGTAGTAAAACTCAGTGTGAGATCGTACAGACTGGCAGGGTGGTGTTTATTTGCAAAACCATGTATTGATTTTCATGAATTCACTCAATCTAATGCGCACAGACTACGCTAGCACACTCTCTGTGACATACTCAGAAGTACCAACAGGTATACGGCCAGATGATGTAGCCAGGATCACATGTGTGCAGCACAGACAGTAAGGGATGCTGTGGTGGTGTGATTGTGCCGCTGGGGTTCTTTATGGCACTACAGACTAGTTTTTGGACAAGTCCATCATACTCTTTGGGAGTCATTGGCTGGAATGGGATGGGCCTTTGCTGTAGAAACTGGCTGGCTTTAGGCTCTGTATATCTTGGGCCACGTTGTTTCCTGGCTTTGTTTTTTTAACTTATTTTTTTATTATTGTATGGTTTTTTTTTTCTTGTCTTAATGTGTGTTTGAAATAGATGCTGAGGATCTGTTCTGTTGGGCCAACAGGCAAAGGAATCGTGTTTTTGATCTGCTGCAGTCTCGTGACCATCCTCCTGGTGCCTCTTTCGCTGATGAGTCATCTACACTGTCCTCTCACCAGTGAGACCTTTTGGCCACAACATAAACAGCACATTTCTCAATTTCAGTGCTGGGAATAGTGTTCTGAAAACAATGGCCAGGGAAATGGTGTTCTTTGTTATCAGTGCAGGCTGCTCTTTTAACCCTTTGTTCTGTTGTTCCTTCCCATGTGTGTGTACACATGCTCCCTTACAGTCATACTGCAGTCATTCCAGTCTTAATATTCCTGTTAACATTCTTGACAACTGCCATCTTAAAAATTAAGAATAGCAAGTAAATCCTAAAGGAATAATAAAAAAAAGGGGGGAAAAGTGCACATTTTTGTGACAGACTCTTCAGAATGTTAGTGGCTGCAGTTTAAGAGGAAGAATATATGTTTGTCAGGGGGAAAATTGAAAACCTAACTTTCCCATGTTTCTAGGGCTTGCTTGCTCAGGCGAAGTTCTGGAAGTTTTTCTGTACTTTGCATGCAGTGAGATCCTTCTCTGCCTTCTTATTCCAGGCTTCCCATCTGGTTTATTTATTCAGTAGAACTGCAAGTACTGGTCGTGTTCTTCTCTCTGAAACTGTTTCTGGATGGGCAGTCTTACTGCCTCCCTTAATAAAAACACTCCTATGCTCTTGAGTAACTTTCTTGCAAGCTGCAGCATTTTCAAGGCATTCCATTTATAAATTGCACATCATAAAAAAGCATTTGCTTTATATACAGCCAGTTGGTCATAGAGACCATTGTATGGAGTATTAATAACACAAACGTCAGGCATGAGGGTTTTTTGGTTGTCTTTTTTTCCTAATACCAGAATTTGTCAAGTCAATTGAACTCCCTTTTCTAACATTTTAGCGCTGTGCAGTCTAACATTTTAGTCAGCTGTGCAGTCTGCAAGGGGATATGATGTTTTCTCTCTTCCTTTCCCTCTCCTTCTTTCTCCGTCTGTATTTACAGGTTATCCTAACATTTGTCTGCATGTTGACGAAGGAATCTGTAGAAATTTCTCCAGTACCATCTGATGGACTGCAAGTCCATCAGATACCTTTGGATGGAAGAAATCCCTCTAGCTCCTTGAGTGAAAAAAGGCAGATACAGTGTCAACTGGGACAATATCTACATCCCAGAGAGACCCACTGCTGCATGAGGTGCCATGCAGGTATGTAGAAAAGGACAGTAATAGTGACCTTAGAGCATTTCCCTGCATACTTGAACTGTCTCTGTCCTACAGCTACATCAGTGCTCTCTCTACTTGGCACATGTCCCTACTCAGATAAACTATTACTCCTGATCTTTTCTTTTGGGCTGTGTCCCTCACAGTGGTGAGAGCTCTGTCAGAGCTCCGATAAGTGATTTTATTGCAGGTACCTACAAGGCAAAAGACTGTGATCGGCCTGACCAGGCACCCGTCTGTCTTCCGTGTGCTAATGGCACATTCACAGCTGTGGATAACACTATGTCTAAATGCTTCCAGTGCACACGTTGCCGTAGAGGTGAGCTATCTATAGAACTGAGGAAAAAGGCTGGTAGTTGGAAAGTGGGGGCTTGAGGGGATGGCAAAGTGAGTAAGGAAGCTTGGAAAAATGAACAATTGATTGGGCAGAAGGACAGTGTATGGGAAGGGATTGGGGACAGCAGGAATAAGGGTTACCAAATGTCTACAGCCTGAGATATAGTTTGCAGGCCTTTTTGGCCTTTCCTGGGAAGATTAGGGGATCATGATGCATCCAGTTGTAATAGTGCTCTCAGCTGAAGGTGAAGGAAGAGGTTGGAATAATCACTTCTTTCTTTCCTCAGAATTCCAGCAGATAGTAGAGACTCCCTGCACCCCAAAGCAAGATACCGTATGTGGCTGTCGGAAGAACCAGTACCAGATTGGCCTGGCCGATCTCTTCCAGTGTAGGAACTGCAGCTCATGTGTCAATGGGACTATTACTGACTGTGAGTATGGCATGGACATGGTTCCAGTACAGTTATACTGTTCTAGGGTAGACATTAACAGCCCTCTGTTTACTTTCTGATATGCTTCAGCCCCTTGCCCTGAAGTGATTGTGGATCAACTCTTGGTCTTGCCTGCCCCATTTCCCCAGGAAGACTGCCATTTTTTGCCTGCCTTGGTATCAATCCCTGTTTTCTGTCATAGTTTCTGTCTTCCTTCTGTGAGTGGCTTCTTGATATTGCCTGTATGAGGAGATACTCTTTACTCAATTCTGGTACCTCTGCCTTGCATGTACTGCATGTCTTTATGCTCTAGAGCAGATGTCAAGAGATCAAGAAAGCTCAGGTAATGCTAACTATACACCCAGTGGCATCAGGCATGACCTGGGAATGGTGCAGGTGTCTGGGAAAAGTACCCGTGTTAGCTGTCCTAAGCTGCCTCATCTCCAGTCGGGAATTGGGTCTTGACCAGATACTGCTTATTGCCCTCCACTTCAAGCTACAGTCTTGTTCTGTTTGTGTGCCATACATTGGCCTCAAGCTGTCTCCTCTTCTTTGCAAATTCTGCTTCTCCTGACACCTTTCCTGTCTCATAGCCTGTAGTGAGGTTTGCTGTCCCACTGGTGCATGTGTTCCTTCTGGTGCTGGGTAATCTTTCTCTGTCAGTTTCCAAACTTATGCTTACCCTCAAGGGTCATCATATGCTGGCCTTGAGCAATTTCCTTTCCTCTTGGCTGATGTAGAACTATTTTAGTCCTGTCCCTCACTTGTCACAGAATGCATGCTGCTTGCTATAGTATCTTTTCCCCTCCTGCAAGTTTACGTCCTTCTATAACTATTCTTGTCTGCTCCTCCCTATGCTTGTTTTACTCAGTCTCCATACTGTGACTTGCTTAGAAGCCATACATCTTTGATTTCTTACCCCTTCCAGTCACAGCATTGCAGATCACAGGAGTGAACGTGTCCCATGGCTGGGAAGTGATTTCTCCTTGCCCTGAACTGACTTCCTCACCAGCCCCAGCTGCTACGGGACCACTTCTCCCTCATCTTTGCCTAACTAATGCGATTTCTTCTTCCTGTCACGCTTGAACTTGAGTGACTTCTCCTGCTTTTGCACTGGAACTGTCACTATCCTTTAGACCAGTTTCAGCTGCACTGTAATTTTAGTCCCTTTCCCTGCCTACCAGGACAGCGGTACCCTTATGTGTTATTATTTTTATCTTCTCCCAACCCTGTTCTCAAATGCAGACAGAGTTCTTCTTTCTGTTCTTCAGACTCTGAGGTAAAATCTCCCACCTATCTTGGAGTGGATTTTTCTCCTTTTGTTTCCTTCTCTGTCCAGATCATGACAATGTTTCCTTCTTTTCTCTACAGGTACAAAGAACAAAGACGCAGTTTGCAGGTGCAAGCCTGGATTCTTCCTGACACTTAATAATGTTTGCAAGCCTTGCAACAGGTGAGCATTTTTCTCTATATGCCCATGTACTGAAGGGGGCATACCCCTCATAGGAGAGACAGCAGACAGGAGCCCCTGGTGTGCTTTAAGCCCAGCTGGTAACTTAGCACCACGCAGCTGCACGCTCACTTCTCCCCTTCTTCCCTCCCCCTCCCCCTGCTCCCAGAGGGACTGGGAGCAGAATGGCAAGAATGTAAATCCCATGGGTTGAGAGAAGAACAGTCCAGTAACGGAGATATAATACAAAACCACTACCACTAATATTAATAGTAATAATAATAATAATAATAATAATAATAATGGGAATAACAAAGGGAGAGAATATGAAACTAAAAAGGGAAGGGGAAAAAAACATCAATAAACACAAGTGATGCACAACAGAATGGCTCACCACCTGCTGACCGATACCCAGGCTGACCCAAGGAGGATTTGGGCCTTACGGGTGACTCCCCCCAGTTTAGGTACTGGGCACGACATGCTGTGGTATGGAATACCCCTTTGGCTATTTTGGGTCAGGTGTCCTGTCTCTGTTTCCTCCCAGCTTCCCGTGCCCCTCCTCACTGGCAGAGCATGAGACTGAAAAGTCCTTGATCAGAGTAAGCAATACTGAACAACAACTAAAACATTGGTGTGTTATCAGCGTTGTTCTCAGGCTAAAGCCAAACCACAGCACTGTACCAGCTGCTGGGAAGGAGAAAAATAACTGTTACAGCTGAACCCAGGACAGCCCCACAGGAAGAAATTTTTCTCAAGGCTCTGTCCATCTCAACATAACTTTATAACATTCTGCCTTTCTGGGGCAATTGAGTCTTCTCCTCTGTGATCCTTGGTCTTCTCTTAGTAGGCATTGGCCCAGTAAGAACCCAGAGTCACTAGCCACACTCCATTGCTCTGCTTTGTAGGCTCATCTTGACTTGTCTGTTACTTAGGATTGTTGCAAATGGCTTCATTTCATGCATGCTCACCTCTGATTTGCCCTTTCAGCTGCATTGATGAAGAATGCTTGCTGTGTCATAGCCCGGTGACTGCTTCACCGACTTCAACTGGGCTCAGTGAGTACTGGGGGAACTGAGAGGCAGTGGTATCTTTTCAGTGCAGGCTTTTGTTCTGCTAATGCCTTTTGTAAAGTCATCTTTTCTCCATTCTCTCACACTGCTCTTTTTCTCCCTGCTACTTACACATCTTCACTTGCTGTTCTTCCTCTAGCAATTTCCTCCTTCTTTCTCAGTCACTCTATAATTTGCTGTCTTCCTTTTGTCCAGATGGGAGCCTTGTCCTTGGCATCATCGTTGCAATATTTGGAGTTATTTTCATCCTCTACATTGTAAAAAAAGTAGTGAAGCTCATCCAGAAAAAGAGGATAACATCATCTTCCTACTCCTGTGGTGAGTACAGCATATGTGGCAATGTTATTTGGGATCGACATCATTCTCTGTGTGTTTGTGTATGCACAAGTGTGAGGGAGGGCAAAAAGTGGGATCCCATTGCTCTGCTTTGGTGCAAGGGCAAAGGAATGTGAGAACTTGACAGCTAAGCTTTTTGGAGCAGTAGTTCCTGCAGTTCTGCATCCATGCCCATAGCTGTGACTGGAAGTGTGTTTGAGCTTATTGCTGGAAGATGTGTTTTGCTAGAAAACCTTTTTGTGGGCATGACTGTGAATAGCTGCTTTCCTGTTTTTTTTCTGGAATGAGAGGAAATTAAAATAATGTTTGCTTTCTCTTTCCTTTTCTTTAAAGTCACTTTGCCGGAGACAACCAAGGAGCCAGTGTCTGAGGTGAGCAAGATGATGGGTATAAGAGCTTTCCTTCTGCTCTCAATTATGTTATCCTGGGATCCAGAGTAACAGTTTTCCCCATGGGGCTGTTTTCAAATGAGCTGAGTAATAGGGCTGTTAAATTTAGAAGTTTTCTTGAGGGTGGAGCCAGTAACATTTTACTTCCCCTCTTCTAGAGGATGCTTTTCAAACTCCTGCCTTTTTCTTTCTTTAGGTGCTTTTTTTTTCCAGATAGCTGGTCCTTAATCCCTTTTCCTCCTTGTACACCCCAAGCTCAGAGGATTTAACTAATTTCACTTCACTTCAGATCTTGACCCTACAAACTAGTCAGTGTTGCCTCACAGTATTCTCTCAGGTCCATTGTTGTTCGTCAAGTAAGCAGTAGTTGAGGTGGGATTTTCACAGCCTTACAGGATGATGGGAATGGTGGCATGTGGAGCTCCTAAAATGGTGGTGATTTTGGATACCAGCTTTACTAGGTATGGTAAAGAAATAATTTCTTCCGGACTACAGTTTTTTGATGCCAGAAGGGAGTTAAATTCCTTGGGTTCTTCTGGGAGGAAATGTTTGGTGCCTTCTGCTCAAAAAAGGCATATAGGAAGAATTAAAACCTTAGTACCTGCTCCCCTCCATCTTGGATAAATGTTAATCTATAAAGCTAGTTGCTCCTTGCAGGAGACAGGTGTATTGTCCTGCTGCAGGTGATTCAGGACTAAGAAAATGTGTCTTTCAGGTTGAGGTAAAAAGAGGTGAAATTTCCATCCTTCTTCCTGAGTCCCGGAAAGAAACAGAATTGTTGGTGAATGCAACACCATCACCTGCACCTCTGCCGCAAAGCTCACATGAGTTCCCAGACTGTGTGAGACCTGCCAGGAAGAGGCAGCTTCCAGACAGTAAGTGAAACTCCCTCATCCTTCCCTCTTTCCCCAGGCAAATGAGAACCTGATTATGCAGATGCAGCTTGGGAGGATGTTGGACAGACCTCACCCAGTGTATATGACCTGTTTCTGTACTTAATGCATGGCACAAAGGCAGTGCAAAGCCAGAAGTACACCCAGAGCCTGTGAGGCTGTATATGCTAAATATCTCTGCTAGGGTTTTCTGCTGTCCTTTTTCCCTACCAGCAAAATGGTTTGTCATGCGTAGTGACATGCTGTCAGTCTTAATAGCTCTGGGATGGTGACACAGAGCATTTTGGCTTTGCTGTAATGTGTGGTAGCAAGGCCTAAACATGTGTGCTCAACTTTGCTCATAACTTTACACAAGAGCATGTGGAAGCATTCCCTTTGCTTTTTGAGTCACAAGAGCAAATCTATGTGACTCTGTAGAAGAAACAAACAGGAGTGGGCAATGCACAATCCCAAGGCACCATCCAGCCCTGGATTTATTCACATTCTCCTTGAGGCAGCAGAATCCTGTTTCTCAATGCTATTTCTTCTCTTTTCACAGGCCCTTCTATTCTCTACACTGTGGTGGATCATGTACCGCCATCTCGGTGGAAAGAATTTGTGAGGCGTCTGGGCCTGAGCGACCATGATCTAGAGCGAACTGAGATGGAGCACCGGTGTTTCAGAGATGCCCAGTATGAAATGCTTAGACAGTGGAAACTGCAGATGAGCCATGCAGCAACTGTGGAGCACATCAGCTGTGTTCTCAACCAGATGGAGCTGAGTGGCTGCAGTGAAGCCATTCAGGAGGCTTTGCTAAACCAGAGTTCTCAACCTTGCAGCTTCCACATCCATCATTAGTCTATTTCTGCTTCAGCTGCCCTGGCTGAGGCTGTTAAAAGATGATCATAAGTCCCTCCCTTTCTTGTCTTCCTTTTCTCATACCTCCCTGTCTTTCTAACACTCATCTGGATTTGTTGGGAACAGCAGCACATTATGCTGGAGGAAGGCTGAGGTTTGCTTCTCAGCCACCATATATTCAATGCCTTTAAGCCAAGGCAGATCAGAGTGACTTAGATCAGATGTTTTATGGACTAGCTGTTTCTGAAATAGGTGCTCCATGCAGCATATGTGGTAAGTGAACTTGTAGGGTGTCTTGGTTAAGCTGGCTGTTCATATGGTAAAGTACTTACTCACTTTTTGCAGATCTGTGTTTCTGCAAGATCAGACAGTTGAACTGGCTCACATTGCAGCCCTTGGATTGCTAAATCTGACTCTCAGGAAGTGGAGAGAGGTTGTGCTTTTCTGAGAATAGGAGAGGACTGCCCCCTTTCGGCATCAACGGGTTATCCCTGTGGCAAAAGAGGCGTGGAGATTCAGAAGCGGTGGCTGTGAGAAACGGGAGTATGTTACCCTTTGCACACCCCCATTTTCCTCAGGTTCAAGTGGAGCAAGGATTCTGAGGCAGTGAGTCAGATGAGAAGGTTGGTGCTTTTTTGTCAAGTTTTTATTTTCCTATACCTGGAAACCATGTATGATAGCATTAACAAAACACCAGCTTGTGTGTTTGTTCAAGTGCAGAAGAGGAAGGAATGTGTTCATCTCTCTGGGTGAGAAGGTACCTATGTACCTGGTAGCATGAGCACCTCTGCACATCTGTGCTTGCACACAGGTTGGTAGGCTTGTGTCTACCTGCTGATCTCTCTCTGAATGATTTGCTGGATCTGATCTAACTGCAAATGGGACTGTGTATGTGTACATATATATATGTATGTGTTTTTAGCAGCTGTTAAATAATTTCACACTACTTCCTGGGCTGTACTCTGTGATTACTGCCTGGGTGCAAGAGCCGTTTGGTACCCTCTCCCTGCTCACACCATCATTTTCTCAAGGGTATTACGCTGGGTAAAGTGTAAACAGCAAAAATCAATTAGCCTACATCAGGTGCAGGCTGATTTGTAATGTGGACTGGTTTTAGTCTCTCATCCCTTGGCTGGAGAGACACTTTCTACTGTAAATACAGTAAATGCTCTGAATTAAAATGCATATTTTTACCTCTGCCTCCGTTCTGGTTTCTCCATATCAACTTCTGTGATGGGGCGTGGGCAGAGAAAGGAGAATAACTTCCAGAAGTTGCCAGAGTGGGTGGCTTGATGGTCTGATTTAAAAATGAAACCAAAACCCTTAAACAAGAGAGGGTTTATGAACTCCTGTATGTTTTATGAACTCCTGTATGTAAAGCTTAGCTGCCCATAAGTCACAGGATGCTGACTGAGGGCAGGAATTGGGACTGAATTTAAACTGGGCTGCAGGTCTTCTCAGATATCCAAGAGTCAGAGGGGGAAGCTGGCATATTTAAAGTGACTTTTTTAAACAGTAGGCAATGAGTCATTTTCATTTGTATTTGGCTTTTTAAAGAGAAAATACCTTAAAATAGTAGATTAAATGTTAATGCTAATCTCACAGGACTCTGTCTGAGGAACCAAAGCACCGTGTTAAGGCAGTAAGGACTGTTCTGACTCCACTGATTGGGAAACTTGGAAGTCAGTGACAAAGCCAGGAATTGAAGTAAAGCTTTGTTTTGTTACGCTTACATCCTCTTTTAGTTGAGGCTGATTCTTTTTCTATTTTCTTAATCAAAGGAGACAATACAAAGCTCACTGTAATACACATTGTCTTTCATAATTGATGGTCACCAAGCACAACTGTATGATAATGTCCTGGGTTCAGCAGTAGCAGTGATTTTTCTCCTTCTTAGTAGCTGGTGCAGTGCTGTGGTTTTGACTTTCAGCCTGGGAACAGCGCTGATAACACCGATGGCTTTAGCTGCTGCTCAGTAACGCTTACATTGACCAAGGACCTTCTGAGTCTCATGCTCTGCCAGGAGGAAGCCGGGAGGAAGCAGAGACAGGACACCTGACCCAAACCAGCCAAAGAGGTATTCCATACCACAGCACGTCATGCCCAGGATGTAAACTGGGGGCAGTTACTCAGAAGGGTTAGATCATTGCTCGGGTCGGGCTGGGTATCGGTCGGCTCGTGGTGAGCGGCTGCGTTCTCTCCCCTTTCTCTCTCTCTTATCATTATTATTACTGGTAGTAGCGGTAGTGGTTTGTATTGGTTTGTGTTATACCTTAGTTACTGAACTGTTCTTATCTCAGCCTGTGGAAGTTACATTCTTTCCGTTCTCCTCCCCATCCCTCTGGGAGCAGGGGGAGGAAGAAGCAGGGAAGTGAGCGAGCGGCTGTATGCTTCCGAGTTACCGGTTGGGCTTAAATCACGAAACAAACACAGAAGAGATACCTTAAATTCTTCTTTCCAAGAAGAAGACCTTACCATAAGCAGTGTAGCAGCAAATGCCACTGGGTGTTTGATAAGGAGTGGTGAGGAAATGCTGTATGCTCTCTACGTTTCTGCAAAGTTCGTGCAGAGGGAACCCAAACCCCTTTCTTCCACCTTTGGGATCGCCACAGTCAAATGAGTGCGTGGTATAAAAGCTTTTATTGGTACGTTCTGAACATCCAGATTTATTTACAGGGGCACCCTGCAGCAGTGCCCAGTGTGCGGCCACCATGGGCAGGGACATCCCTCTGGGCCTCCAGGGCACAGGCCCTACCTCAGGGCCAGCACCCCAAAGGCCTTTCACCAAGGGATGCTGGGCGAGGGGGCAGCAGCAGGGCTGCGGTGGGCAGGGCTGCGGGGGAACCGTCACCCCCATGTCATAGCGCCAGCACCCGGCAACGCAGCATCACAATGCTCTGGGGCAGTGTAAGTCCAGCGCCCTCCCCTCTCCCACTGCCAGAGTGCCCGGCGCTGCCACCAGGACAGAGCTGGCAGCCTGAGGGCATCCGAGAGGAAGCCCTTGAGGCATCGGGGGAATTACTGGGAGGGGGAGGGAGCTGATGGGGGGAGCACTTGAAGCAGCACGAAGCTGCAGGAGGTTCGGTGCTGCTGTTCCAACTCCTGGAGGGACCACACTCAAAGCTCATCAAATGGATGGATGGATGGATGGATGGATGGATGGATGGATGGATGGATGGATAGAAATCCTGCTTCAGTCATCAGAGAGTTCACCATCCTCATCTCCTCAGCACCAGGGAATTAGGTGAGGAAGGTGCTGAAGGAGTGACCATGAAGCTGCAGGAGGTTCTCTGCTGCAGTTGCAGCTCTTGGAGGGGCCATGCTCAAAGCTCATCTGATGGATGGGTAGATGGATGCATGGATGGAAATCCTGCTTCAATCGTCGGGGAGCTCACCATCCTCATGTCCTCAGCACCAGGGAATTAGGTGAGGAGGGTGCTGAGGGAGGGAACATGAAGCTGCAGGAGGTTCTCTGCTGCAGTTGCAGCTCTTGGAGGGGCCATGCTCAAAGCTCATCTGATGGATGGATAGATGGATGCATGGATGGAAATCCTGCTTCAGTCGTCGGGGAGCTCACCACCCTCATGTCCTCAGCACCAGGGAATTAGGTGAGGAGGCTGCTGAGGGAGGGATCCTGAAGCTGCAGGAGGTTCTCTGCTGCAGTTGCAGCTCTTGGAGGGGCCATGCTCAAAGCTCGTCTGATGAATGGACAGATGGATGGATGGAAATCCTGCTTCAGTCGTCGGGGAGCTCACCATCCTAATGTCCTGGGGAGAGAGTGGTAGCAGCCGGAAGAAATAGGACGCACAGTTGGTTCAGTGCCCTCCCCCAGTGCTCTGGAGCTCCACTGCCAAGCACAGGAAGATTCTTGCTCTGGGGAGTCATCAGACCATTGGCGTTCTGGTGGTGTTGGAAGCCCCTGCGATGGCTCCAGGAGGAGGCAGAAAAGGCAGTGCCAGCGTCCCCTTGTCCTCTCAGAGGCATAAGCAGCGTGTGGACCAGGAGCAGGTCTTGCTCACATGCTCAGGGAGCAGCCGATCGCCAGCACTGGGGTCAGGAAGGAATTTTCCCCCGGGGCAGATTGGCACCGGTCCCCGGGGGTTTTTTGCCTTCCTCTGAGCACTGAGCATCACCACTTGTCAGGGCTCCTGGGGCCGTTCTGGCTGCGTTATCGCCTGGTGCTCGTGCACCACGAAGGTGGCCCCTCGTGTCCTGCAGCTGGGGGAGGGAAGGCTTTTTTCTCCCCAGGCTGGACTAGCAAGCGTCCCTGGGGTTTTTTGCCTTCCTCTGCAGCCGAGCACAGCCCCTTCATGGGGCTCCTTTGGCTCACTGTGTCCCAAAGGCAGCTGCTCGTGCTCCACGCAGGTGGCCCTCGTGCCCCGCATCCGGGGGGAGGCAGCCTCCTGGACTCCCACGGTGGCCCCAGCGTGGCCCCGGGACTCGCTGCTGTCCTCTGTAGCATTGAGCACCACCCCTTGTCAGCTCTTGCCTGGCCCTTTCTGGCTGGCTGCTTCCTGCACTGCTCTCGCACCACCAAGGCACCGCTCCTGCCCTGCCTTTCCTTTGTCAGGCTCTAATGGAGGTTTTTTCCAGCTCAAGTGAAGGGTCTAAACTAAACCAGACTGAAATCAACTAAACTAAGCTAAACTAAACCCAGACAACTAAAAGAACTTTATTTCTGAATAAAACACTCTTTCTACCTGTAACCGTTCTGATTTGTGTCTTTGAAAGTGCTTTCGGTGCTGGAATTCCCTTGGCAGTTTGAGTTAATAATGGTCTCCTCATTGTACAACTCATTGTGAGCGTAGGGAATAGAATGGAATGAAATAGAACAGAACAGCTATGCTAAACATTACCCTGTGGAACAAACTGGCCTGGGTTCAGCAGTAGCAGTGATTTTTTTTCTCCTTCTTAGTAGCTGATGCAGTGCTGTGGTTTTGACTTTCAGCCTGGGAACAGCGCTGATAACACCGATGGTTTTAGCTGCTGCTCAGTAACGCTTACATTGATCAAGGACCTTCTGAGTCTCATGCTCTGCCAGGAGGAAGTCGGAAGGAAGCAGAGACAGTACATGTGACCCAAACCAGCCAAAGAGGTATTCCATATCACAGCACGTCATGCCCACTATATAAACTGGGGCCAGTTACCTGGATGGGTTAGAGCAGTGCTGGGGTCGGCTGGGGTACTGGTCAGCGGGTGGTGAGCAGTTGTATTCTCTTCCCTTTTTACCTCCTTTATCAGTATTATTATTGGTGGTTGCAGCAGTGGTTTGTAACCTTAGTTACTGGACTGTTCGTAGTTAATACCTTCTGCTAGACCAGGTTACTCCAAGCCCCTCTGTCCAACCTGGCCTTGAACACTGCCAGGGATGGGGCAGCCACAGCTTCTCTGGGCACCCTGTGCCAGTGCCTCAGCACCCTCGCAGGGAAGAGCTTCTGCCTAAGAGCTCATCTCAGCCTCCCCTCTGTCATGTTAAAGCCATTCCCTCAACCTTAAGAAATCTTTTCAATGTAGTGGATGTGACTTGGGCAGGTGATGGCGGTGAATAGCAAAGAGTGGTCTGAGCCTGAACAGGACTTTCAGCTGCTTGCACCATTTTATTCTTTTATCTTTATTACTCATTGAGTATCTAACTCTGAGGCGACCAATGTATATGAAACACTCAGGTAAAGTGCCTTGGTCTCTTCTCTATTCGGCCTCCGGGGACTCACTGCTCCCCCTTCGGCGCCGTGCTCTATGGTCTGAGCAGGACGACGCCCGCCTCCCTCCACCCCCCTCCGCCTGCCGCTCCTTGGTACGCCCCAGGGCACCGCAGTGCGCGCCGGGAGCTGGGTCGGTCGGCCCGCCTGTGGCGGGGGACGGCGTTGGCCTGCTGCGCTCGGGCGCCGGTTCCTCTCTCCTCGCCGCCATGGCCCTCAACAAGTCCATGCACGTTCGCAACCGGTACAAGGACAAGCCACCCGACTTCGCCTACCTGGCGGGCAAGTACCCCGAGTTCCAGCAGCATGTGCAGACCACCCTCACCGGCAGGGTGAGGTACGGCCCGCGCGGCGGCGGGGGTAGGCCGGGCCGGGCTGTTTGTGGCGAGCGGGAGGGCGCTGGCTCCGCTTTAAGCGCTGATTTGTACCTTTCAGCCTGAACTTTAAGGACCCCGAGGCGGTGAGAGCTCTGACGTGCACCCTCCTGAAGGAGG